GACGTTTTATTGCAAAGTTATGCAGCACTCTGGGACAGCCACTCTACATCGACAAAGAAATAGCAGCTCAGACGAGATTAGCATTTGCACGAGCATGTGTACTGGTTTCTTCCGACGAAGATCTTCCTAATGAGGTTTTCTATCATGATCTTGATGAGAACACTCGAAAGATACATGTCTCATATTCCTAGAAGCTACAACGATGTCAGCGTTGCTTATCTTTTGGTCATGCAAATGGAGCTTGTTAGCAAACTCCAAAACCGATCACAAAGGTCTATCGACCACGTCAAACACCTCAGCAACAAAGCGAGTCTTCTCTAATGGCAGTAGCACCGATGGTGGCAAAGACTATTAAGCATTCCGACTCGCAAGGACAGTACCGCGGACAGAAGGACAAATCCAAAACTTTACCTCTTCCTATAATGTCTGAGCCTTCCACAACAAAAGTTTCCCATGGTACTAGTGGACAGGAGAAGCACAAGTCAGGAACTTCATCTCTTCAATATCAACGGATATGTCCACAATAGCTCAACGAACTCAGGCCCAAACAAATCTCGTTAGCAAGGATATTATTCTTCCTCAACAAACTCAGGCCGCAACAAACATCGCCAACAAGGATATTTTGTCTCAACAAACTCATGCCCCAACAAACCTCTCTAGCAAGGCTGCTCCAACAAGTACTAACCAGAATATTGTGTCATAACAATCTTATCATGCTTCAACAAACTCTGCCAATCAAGACCACATGATTCAAGGTATTTTAAAGTTTAAACATCTACAAGCTGTAGATGAAGTGGATAAATATAGGAATAAAGCCATAAAAGGTAAGGATATTGTATGGGAGGAAAATACAAAACCAAATGATAAGATAAAGGATGGTACAATCCATCCAAAGTCGTAGGATGAATACCTTACCACCTTTTTCATTTGTTTATTACTAATGAAGATAACATGCTGGAATGTTCGTGGAATTAATAAGCCTGAGAAATGTCGGGAGCTCAACAGAATAATCAAGTCTGCCATATGTGATATTGTTATTTTAGTGGAAACGAAAATTAAACAATCGCGCGTTCAAGCTCAAAAGAATTTAATATGACCGGACGCAGAACTGTTTACCAATGACTCAAATGAAACTTTTGGTAGAATATGGGTCTTATGGCATCCTAACTCTATTAATGCTTGGTTTATTTCTACTACTGATCAAATGCTTTAAACAGTATGCAAGAAAGAAATACACTGTGGTCTGATCTAACTAACATTGCAGATGGTTGTCTTAATGTACCTTGGATTGTTCTTGGTGACTTTAATACTATTCGGTACACAAATGAAAAGTGGGGGGTAGACAGCTTTCAGAAAGTCAGCTTCAGAGTTTTAATGATTACATAGATACTGCTGCATTGACTGATATGAAATCTGTGGGTAATTGGCTCTCCTGGAGTAATCAAGGTGCTGCTAACAGAAAAATAATGGCTCGACTCGATAGATGTCTGATTAATCAAGAATGGTTAATAGTTTACCCTGATTCACTTCTTGAGTATGATGCTTCATTGTTTTCTGATCATTCTTTAATGTACATACACGCAGATAAAGCAACACCAAAAGGCAAGAAACCGTTTAGATTCTTTAACATGTGGAGTACTCATCCTCAGTTCCTTGATGTTATCAGATCAACTTGGAATGTTAATGTGCATGGATCCCCCCCTTACATCTTATGTCAAAAACTCAAAGCCTGCAAAGCAGCACTTAAGGAGTGGAATACAAATACCTTTGGCAATATTACCCCCCGAGTTCAATTTTACAGAAAGGAACTAATAGCAATGCAACATGAGCTGCAACTTCAGCCCCATGATGAGAATATTATCGACAAAGAGACAGAAGCTAGAAATAACTTCATGCAAGCCTTAAAGCAGGAGGAAAGTTTTGCAAAACAAAAGTCTCGAAAGCATTGGCTTACTTAAGGAGATTTCAATACTAAGTTTTTTTATGCTTCTATTGCTACTCGAAGAGCCGTTAACCACATCAAGAAATACAAAGACAAAGATAACAATCTTATTGAGAATTTAGATGAGGTTAAAGCATACACTAAGCAATTTTTTTATTCCTTACTCAACCAAGAGGGGCAACCTAATAATAGAAGGCTTATTGAGAATTTAGATGTGGAGCCAACTAGAAAGCTTGATTCGAATGTCATTTCTATCCTCAATACCCCAATTACAGATGATGAAATAGTAAGAGTTGTCTTTAAGTCACTAAAGCACAAAAGCCCTGGTCCAGACGGATTTCCTACTGAATTTTACCAAATTACATGGTCTATTATTGGTAATGATGTGATTAAAGCTTGTCAACACTTTTTCTCTTCAGGGCATATTCTTAGATAGATGAATTGCACTTTTATTTCTTTAATTCCTAAGAATGCAGAGACTGATTCACTAGAGAACTATCGACCCATATCTTTATGTAACTTTATTTACAAGATCATCTCAAAACTGTTAGCAGATAGATTGCAAAAGGTAATACACAAGATAATTAGTCCAAATCAGGCTGCTTTTATCAAAGGGAGAAGTATACATCATAATATTCTGCTTGCTAATGACTTGGTCAAGGATCTGTACTCAAAAGCAAAAGGGACAAAAATCTGTTTTGAAGCTTATCTACGAAAAGCCTTTGACTCAGTTAATAGGAACTTTATCTATAAGATGCTCTACAGTATGAACTTCCCTCAGCAATGGGTTAATTGGATTCAATGTTGCTTAGAAACTCCAAAGTTTTCAATACTCTTCAACGGCTCACCTATTGGTTTTTTTGGGAGCAAGAATGACATCCGACAAGGCGATCCACTCTCTCCATATCTCTTTAGTATTGTAATGGAAGGACTTAGCTATATGTTGAAATATGCGGTCTCTGATGGTAGTATTAAGGTACCTCATGCTGGCCCTATTCATATATCACATATAATCTTTGCAGATGATCTTCTTATCTTTCTTTAGAATGATTTAACTTCAGTAAGAAACCTGGCTACTATTCTGAATGATTTTGGTATAGTTTCTGGCTTTCAGTTAAATTATGCGAAAAGTAAAGTCTACATGAGCTATTGCATTGATGACAAAGATGTTATTGCACATACCTTAGGGGTTAGTGAAGGAAATCTGCCAGTTACATATCTTGGTCTCCCACTCATATCCACTAGCATTCACAAAACCCACTGTCAGCCTATCCTGCAAAAAATAAAGAATAGAATTTTCTCCTGGAAAAATAGGCTTCTTTCAAAAGCAAGACGACTTGAACTCATCCATTCGGTGTTGTACTCTTACTCTATATATTGGTCTAATGCATTTCTTCTGCCTATCAAACTTCTCCAAGATATTGAACGGTTATTAATAAACTTCTTCTGGAATGGCACAAATGATAAGACAATGCATATGGTAAATTGGGACAGCATCTGCAAACCGAAAGATGAAGGGGGGCTGAACCTGAGAAATACTAGAGATTGGAATAAAGTATGTTTGGTAAAGAAATTGTGGGACCTTTTATAAAACAAATGTTCCTTATGGTCACAATGGGTTTCTACTAGGTATCTTTCAAAGGAATCGATTTGGGAAATTTCAACAAGAACATACCACTCTACAGCTTGGAAAGGAATTTTAAAGGCAAGAAATTGGCTAATCAAATACATTTCTTATGCAATCTCTACTGGAACTAATACTAATATGTGGTACGATCCTTGGGTGAATGAGAAAAGTATATTTCAATTATATGGTGACAGAATACGAAAAGACCTTGGGGCTCCCAAAGATTGGAAGGTTTCCAAGTTCATTGCTAATGGTACCTAGTGTCTCCCTACTCCTATTTCTCCTGAAATGTTATCATTTTGGCCGATTATCACAGCTATTCCAATCAGGAACAACCCTTCAGATGTACTTATTTGGCTTCATGACAATGACAAATTTAGTGCCACGTCTGCATGGAATCAAATTAGGCAAAGAAATAACAAGTGGCTCCCAAGTAATTGGACATGGGATCGACCGGGATCACAGAGACATTCCTTATGTACATGGCAGGCCCTTCTGAATAAACTACCTACAATAGACAATATGAAAAAAAGAGATATCCATCATGTTAACCAATGCTCCCTTTGCATGCAACAAGAAGAAACTATTGACCATCTGCTTGTAACTATACTAAATGGATATGGAAGGAGATTCTCCAGCGATTCGAACTTAATAGAATGCCGCAACCAAACTTGCATCAAGAATTAGGTGACCTCATGCAATGTTTTTCAAGAAAAGGGCCTCTTACACAATTGACAAAGGTTATATTCAGATGTGTTATTTGGTGGATGTGGAAGGAAAGATATAGCAGAATCTTTAAGTGTCAACACACAAACAATGCTCAGCTCTTGACAAAGATTATTAGAGACTCAAGATCATGTATGGAGAACAATCTCAAAATGGAGCACCTTACACGAAGAGAAAAAGATATTTTTATCAAATTCAATTTTGCTATTAGCTAAACATCTTGGGCATGATGTTAAAAGCTATACCCACAGGAAATCTTGATATATCTAGACTTTAAATTTTATTTATTTACCACAGTTAAGAGTTATAGTCTACAACATGTGTAGTCATAACTACCGCATGAGTACTCTACGAGTTACCTAGCTTCGTCTATAACTTGTATAGACAAAGCTATTTATAGAAACTTTACACAAAATCAATTTACTTTTACTTATAAAAAAAATAATACAATTAATATGTAACCCTCACAATTGAATCAATTTCTTAATGTAGCGTAGATTCTTTTGTTTCTAAAAAAAAATATATAACCTTATTTATGTGTTTTATATAGCTTAGATGGACCTAATTGTTTTATTGCTTCTGTTACCATTATTGTTCTATAGGAGATAGATATGGAGCATCAATCAACCAGTAAAGTAATCACACCCACCAATGAAGGATGTCGGAGATCTGTATCCAAAGGTTAAAAAAAAATCATGAACACCATTTCAAATATCAATAAATGATAACTCAGAGAGAGAGAGAGAGGAGGGTGGCGTTGGGGTGGCGCTGTTGGGGGCGCGGCCATACCAATCACATTCTTTATCCTTTTTCAATTTGGTGTGCTCCTTACTTGGTTTTGTTGTCGCACTTGTCCCCGAGTCCTTCAGCCTTCTTCTTCCTCTCATCCTTTGCAATCTTGGGTTCAGATGGTGATGGTGCCACCGTTGTGTTGTCTGTTCTTGCACCCATAGCAGGTTCTTCACGTCGATGCCCTCCTTCCAATCCATGCCTAAACCTTCTTGCCTCATCCTGAGCTGCCATGGCGTCTGAAAACTCATTCAAGGTTGAGATTGCAGGAGCTCCTTTGCTACCGCCAGCTCCGCCAACTCTCTCTTGCTCAATGAACAGGAGCTGCACTATGGTGCGCAAAGGCAGCTGGTCGTTGGCTATAGCGTTTGCTCGTGCTTCAGGTGACAGTTTCCGGCAGTCGATCAACCTGCAGAGCCTCTTCCTCTCTGCCTTGCTCAACTCTGCGTGCTCCTAAATCAATATATACGGAGTTCAAGTTCAATAATAACCACGATGAAAGATCGATCTCTACTTTTGCTTTTGCATAATGTAGCTTACCTTGAGGTAAGTATCAATAGCTTGATACAGCCCATCGTGCTCCTCCCGTGCCATTTCAGGCAACGACTCTGCTAGTTCAATGAACTTTGAGACTGGTAAAGTACTATCGCTTGCAATGATCTGCAGGTAGTCGTCGTAGATCCTCCCCACCTTGGTCATGGACATGATCATCCTCTCGGTCTCTTCTCGAGGCATATGTCGGCGAAATTGCAACAGGAAACTCTCGAGGACCGCCGCCACCGTGCTGATATCATGAGACCGGGGATCGGTAGTTGATGGAATTAGCAGATCACTTGCAGTGGTTTCATCCAGTTGGCGACCTGATCGTCTTATAAGCTCAGCTTTGGTAGACGTAGAGGCGCCGACATAACAAGCAATCTTGAGAAGCCGGAACAAGAAACTGGCTGACACTGATCCTGGCTCAGTCGGGATCATGCTAACAATGGCCTCGAGCACCCGTTGGTGCTTGTTTAGGATGTCATCAGTTCGAGCTGAGGAGCTCTGAGCTTGTTCTTGGAACTCCAGTGGGCTCGGGAGGTGTTTGAATGCGTAGACATGGAGCGCTTCTCCGATGAGTGCTGGCGGGAACTTCTTGGTGGATCGGATGGTGGAAATGATCGACCGGAAGATATCGAGGTCGAGCTCAGATACATCCTCCGTCCACCAGTCCTTGGGGGCTGCACTGCGTTGCTGCTTCTTCGTGTAGCCTGGCCTTGTGTAGCTATAGGACCATGCGACCTGGAGAAGAGAACCGTGACCATGAAGCACAAGAGAACTGCTAGATGCAGAATTCAGAACGCAAACCTGCGAGGGGTGGATGAGTATCTTCTCAATGACCGAGTTCATGCACGGCTGCATTCTTCGATGGTCATCCGACCACCCAGAGTGTCTCCAAAGGGACTGGAGCGTCATGATCGAGTCCTTCCACCCTAGGAGGATGCATGACTCGAAGAACAGATCGAGCTTTACGATGAAGTTTCCTTTGGCAACCGACTCGGTCATCCGTAGGAACTTGGCTGCAGAGATTGCTGCCACAAAGTTATGAGCACTGAGATTGATGGTGATTCCATAGCAGAACTTGGCGCAGAGTTCAAAAGCTTCTTCCCCTCCCGGGATATCGTGAAGAGCTATCGGAATTGGCTGGCCAGTTTCGTTGTCGGCGTTGGAACAGAGGCGTTGTATGAGGCCGCACTTTAGTAGGAGCGGAAACTACAGTTAAAATGCCCTGAAATCAAAAGCTTTGCACTAATTGGAGCCTGAAGGCATGTACTATTTACCATGACGTATAAATCTATCTGCATGTCTGGGCATGCGTAAGACATACACACACAGAGCTGGGAGTGTACCTTGTGCAAGAGGTATTTAGTGTTCTTGACATGAATAATGAGGTCTGTTGGTACATCTGACAACACTGACCTGCAAAAAAAATGTTGGGAACTCATGAGAACTTAAAATTGCAAATCTGATCAGCTATAAGGAACTACTGTTTGTAACATTCTGATCAAAGCTTTGCTCAAAAGATCCCAGCAAAACTTCTAGCTGAAGGTCAGCAACAACATTCTGACCAAGTTTTACTTGGAAAGAACTATTCCTTGTCATTTTTGTTAGTCTGCAATGTCAACACCTGCATATACACCTTACAGCTTCTTCTGTGTAAAATGTGTCTGGCTTTGTTCCCAGTTTCATGTACTTCATACTTGCTGTGGTTCTTCCCTTCCACCAATGGCATGCATGAGATCTTCTTCTCCTCTTGATCAGCGATTTCGTCTTCCCTCAAACTCTAACCTGCATGAAATAAAGACTTCGGGTCACATCTCAAGATGAATGCTTGTTTTGCTTGCTCGGCAGGTAGAAAACGAGCTATATAACTCGACATCTGACATTAAGCAACAGAGTTTGCAAACATATGGTGGAGGAAGAAGAAGTAGTGGAGAAGAGGATCACATGTAGTTCTGTTGAGGTAGAATTGATTGCCAGATCTCACATCTTATATATCTGCACTCCTTTCTGGTTTCTGATACCCATTAATGAAATGCTGCTTAGAAGAGACACAAAAATTTACTCCTAAAGAACCAGTTTTAACGTTTGTGCTACTTTTAATATAGGTGGAGGTCTACAGCAGAAAGTCACTAAATTAGCGAGGTACGATTTATGACATATTACTCTGAGGATAATAGCATAGGCATCAAAATGTGTGTTAGGTCTAATTTATGCGTCCTGTTTGTTTGTCAGAAATGGAAGCTGAAGACATGAAGTTATTTTTATATTCAAAGTCCAATGTATTCATGTATTTTTCCTGCTGAGAAAGAATAGTATCCGATCTTTGCGATTCATTTGTTGCCAAAACGCAGAGAACATGAAATTCATAAAAGAGAATAAAGCTGGAAGCCATAGCCCCAAAAAATTCATGAAAACAAGGTCGAGGAAGTCATAATTTTTACTGTTAGAGCTAGTCCCAGAAAATTTACCAAATGTTAATTTTGACAACACGATAAAGATAATAAAGCGAAAAAGATAAAAGCGACAAGAACACCAGATTTACGTGGTTCGGTCAATTGACTTTGACCTACATCCACGGACGAAAGAGAAGTAAATCACTACTATAAAAGAGACAATTACAAATGCCTTAGGAAGATGTTCCTAGGACATAAAACTCCGAAAATTACTGAACAAGAAAAACCTAAAGCAACCAATTAGGTTTTCTTGTGGTGCTACTTGTGATGCCTCTGACTTCAAAGCCCAGACCCCTATTTATAGTTCCAATAGGAGATAACAAGCTTGATTTTCCCGATGTGGGACTATGAGACTTGCCAAACTAACAAATCTCCACCTTGGCATGTCCCAACAAAACTTCCACCATCTTCATAAAAGCCCCAATGGGCAATCACCAATAATAAACATCAACCAAGTCCAAGCACTGCTTGAACTTGTAAACTGGAAGAGGCTTCGTAAGCATATCAGTTGGATTGTCCTTCATATGAATTTTCTGAACAAGGACCTTTCCCTCAACAATGATATCCCATTTGCATCCAACAATTTTCTTACCCGAAGGTGGCTTCACAAGATCCCAAGTTCTATTCTGATGGAGAGATTCTATTTCTTCATTCATCGCAATCAACCACTTAGCGGAATTATCATAAGAAACTGTATCTGAGTAAGAAGTAGGCTCACCAACTTCACTTGTTTCTTTTGCAACATACAAAGCATATGCAACCAAATTTGCATATCTTTGTGGTGGTTGAATATCTCTTCGTGGTATATCCTTGGCTATGGAATATTGCTCTTTCTCTGGATCATCTGCGTCAGTAGACTCGGGACCACCTACTTACATTCTTTGAGTAGAAGAGTTTGATTTAAAAAGAATCTAAACTACCAATCTTAAGCTCCACCTACTTCTGCGCACTATCATTTGTACAACTAGTAGAATCTTCTTTAGAAGATAACATAGATAATTCATCAAAAGTAACATCTCTACTTATTACAAATTTTGGGGATTTGGGATCAGAACACCATAATCTGTATCCTTTCACCCTAGAAGCATACCTAAGGAAAATACACTTTTTAGCTCGAGGCTCTAATTTTCCTTCATTTACATGCATGTATGCTGGACACCCAAAAATTTTAAAATCAGAGTAATCAGCAGGAGTACTTGACCAAACTTCCTCCGGAGTTTTAAAGTTAAGTGCTACAAAAGGAGCACGGTTGACAATGTAATAGGCCATATTAATTGCCTCTGCCCAAAAGTCCTTTGTCAACCCTGCATTTGAGATCATACACCTTGCTCTCTCCAAGAGTATTATGTTCATATGTTCGGCCACACCATTTTGCTGAGGCGTCATCCTAATAGTGCGATGCCGAACGATTCCTTTATTTTTGTAGAATTCATTAAAGCCACATTCACAAAATTTAATGTCATTATCTGTTCGAAGCCGCTTAATCCGTTTACTTGTTTGTTTCTCAATCAAATCCTTTCATTATTTAAAGGTTAGAAAAACATCATTTTTATGCTTTAGAAAATAAACCCAAACTTTTTTGGAATAATCATCAATGAAAGTCAACATATACCTAGCACCACCCGTAGATTGAACATGAGCTGGACCCCAAAGGTCTGAATGAATATAGTCAAGAGTACCTTTTGTTTTGTGAACTGTTGGAGAATTGAAGCTGACTCTTTTCTGCTTTCCAAAAATGTAGTGTTCACAAAAATCCAGTGGCCTAGTACTTTGTCCACAAAGTAGACCCCTTTTGCTCAATATGCTCAAACCTTTTTCGCTCATATGACCCAAACGCATATGCCATAATTTGGTGATGTCAGAATCAGACAATGATGATGACGAGACTGCAACCAAGCCTGTGACAGTAGTTTCCTATAGAATATATAAGCTACCAGACCTACAAGCTTTCATAAAAATAAGAGCACTTCTAGAAACTTTCATAACTCTACCTTCAGTTATGTATTTACACCCAAGGGCCTCTAGGGTGCCTAAAGAGATGAGATTCTTTTTTAAATCAGGAACATGTCTAACATTAGTGAGTGTCCTCACAATACCATCATGCATTTTAATTCAGATTGTTCCTCTACCAACAATATCACATGCTACATTATTGCCCATCAAAACAATTCCACCATTACAAGATTCATATGTGGAAAACAAATTCCTATTGGGACACATGTGATAAGAACAATCCGAATCTAAAATCCATTCATTTTTAGACATCGTCCTGTCATCAGTAGCAAAGAAAATATTTTCAACATTCTCATCAGATGCTACACTAGCTTCAGTGGACTCAGTAGTTTTCTCAACAAGTTTTCCCTTTTACTTTAATTTATTTTTTAATTTAAAGCAATCAGTCTTAATGTGCCCCATTTTATGACAATATTTGTATTCCAAATTTCTATGTCTGGATTTAGATCTACTACTGTCAAATTCTCTTTTATCCATTCTCCCCCTAACAACCAGACATTCAACCTGATTTCCTCTACTTTCCCTAGTGATATTCATGTCTATCTGCTCCTTAGATTTCAGTGCAGATTTAATTTCTTGATACGAAACTGTTTCTTTTCCAGAAATCAAAGTATCACAGAAATGCTTAAAAGATTGGGGAAGAGAACACAAGAGTAATAGGGCCTTATCCTCGTCATCAATTTTTGCATCTATATTCTCCAAATTCATAATCAAGGAATCAAATTTATCAAGATGTGAGAGTATAGATGTACCTTCAGTCATCCGAAGCATATACAAACTCTTCTTCAAGTAGAGACGATTCTCCATTGTCCTCTTCATGTACAAGGCTTCTCCATTGTCCTCTTCATGTACAAGGCTTTAAGCTTGTCCCACATGCTCTTAGTCGTAGTCTCCGTAGCTACCTCCCGTAAAACCTCGTCAGAGAGATTTAGAATGATGCTTGATCGGGCCTTCTTATCCATTGTTGCAAGATCTTCCTTTGATGTATCATCTGGAATGTTCTCAACTCCCTGTAGTGCCAAATCAACTCCATCTTGAACCAGAATGGCCTCTATCTTCTATCTTGAGTTACCACATGTCGAAGTTGACATTTCTATCGAATTTCTTACCAGATTTACATGGTTCGGTCAATTGACTTTGACCTACATCCACGGACGAAAGAGGAGTAAATCACTACTATAAAAGGGACAATTACAAATACCTTAAGAAGATGTTCCTAGGCCATAAAACACTGAAAATTACTGAACAAGAAAAACCTAAAGCAACCAATTAGGTTTTCTTGTGGTGCTACTTGTGATGCCTCTGACTTCAAAGCCGAGACCCCTATTTATAGTTCCAATAGAAGATAACAAACCTGATTTTCCCGATGTGGGATTATGAGACTTGCCAAAATAACATATATCATGTTGGCCATATCAGTGGCAGAGTCTAGCTATTTGAACCCCATTATATGGGACTTTTTTAGGGAGACAACATCCAAGGATTAGGATTTCTGAGGACCTCACGATCCCCATAGAACTGGCCTTTCTTTTAGTCCTCTCACATCTTTTCTTTGGATTGCAGGGCCTACAGAAAGAATCAAGAACATACAATAACCTAAAGCAACCGTCTCTGATCAAAACCTTTCATTCACCAAGTTCCAACCATAAAAGTTCAGCTGGAAAGTACAACCATATCAGCTCAAGCCACACAGTTTCAGCACATATAAAAAGGAGGAGAGTGTGAACTAGTCCTAGATGCTAATCAAGGAACAGGGAGCACCGCCTCCAGCCAATTATTGTCCTCTGCACTTTGGATGGAGTAAGTAGTTCATGACTTCAACTTCCATCCACCAAGATCTCATCTAACTTTTCTGGGCCACTAGTCCTTAATGTGCAGCAGCATTTTTGTTTAATGGATATTAAGCCAATGAGCTCATGATAACATGCATTTCGGTGGCAGTTCATCATGGACGAGCCTAGATGCCTTAGGTTTCTGCCTTCTCCTCCACTGGAAAGTTTTGGATGTACAGAGATGCAGTTTTGGGGGTTACAATTTCAATAAACAAGAATTACTGAACATGATCTATTGCTTGAAATGAAAAAAAAAGGTTCATACTGAACAGTTGCAAAATATTGGATGTATAGAAAAATAGCAGTTTTTTTGGAGTATAAAAATGATACAGAAGAAGTAACGGACATTGGAAGAAGCAGAGCAAAGTGATGCTTATTACGAACATGAAGATCAATTTTTTTTCTATGGGAAAGGAAGAAAAGACACTAGAAAATTCTTGAAAACATTGCTGGTGATGATGCTGTTGGTATATATACTTCACTCATATCTACCACTTATTTTTAAAGGTAATCAATCTATCAAAAGAATTAGCAATTCAGTGGTGAAGGGGCCTGAATTTTATGCTCAAAAGAACATAATTACTCTAAGATTGGAGAATCAGGCTGAGGTAGGTTTAGCACAAGACAGAGTAGCAACCACATGGATGACAAGAATCGGAAAGCTGCCACTGAAGTGCTGCAAGAACTCACAGCTGCATGGCTCAGTTGCCTCTCACTAATGTTGTGCCAGCATCAGCAACAACATATCAATATAGCAATTGTGCAACATGAAGCATGTTAGTAATCAAACATACCAGTGTTAGGAAACCAATAATGGATTCGCATGGCATGCTTCTCACTGGAGAGAGAGAAGCAGCTCTTGGGACCTGTGTGTCGTGTGTCCGAATAGCTCCGCTAAAGAACAGAGAAATAGGTGATGATAATACATAAGAGTTCTGGAAGTGAAGAGCTTTCCTTTTGTCAGAACCACACCTGTGAGAGTGTCAACATATCATGGACATTTTAGAGAGAGAGAGAGAGAGAGATGGACTGGATTTGGGGTTAATGTTTGGTGTCTCAACGAGCTCATTCTCAAGAATAGAGACTAGCTTTGGGTTTTATGTTTGGTGTGCTGCCAGCGGAGAAATTTCCTTTCTTTTGTCACAACCACAACTTGCATAGATTCCTTTCAATTGAGTTGAGATGTCAATATGTCATGGACTTGAGAGAGAGAGAGAGAGAGAGAGAGTAGGTGGGATGTGGGGACTGAAGAGTACTGCCAAAGAAGAGATCCCCTCAATTCCCAAGATATGCCCCATATATATATATATATATATATATATATACTTTTCAGATCTTGCTTGGCATGTAATTACCACGGGATAAGTTTTGGCTGCTGTAGTCAACCCAGTAATGCAGCATCTGCAATCCACAACACGATGGTCAGCTGCTTGAAGCAGCAAAAGCAGGATCTAGTGGCCATGGTTGCATCACTGACATGACACAGCAGCATCATGGTTTTGTTGAAGCAGCAAAATAGCAGGGCACCTTGTGGCCTCTGTTCCATCATTGGAACGAGCTACATCGAGATGTCACCACATTTAGCAAGCGTTTTATTGTGGCAGGAGGCCACAAACCATGTAGTGATGTGAATGATCAGCTCATTGAAGGAGGCCCCCCTGCCTTGGGTGCTCCATGATTGAAGCCTGGTAGTGGGAGCTACTCCATAAAGGGGTGGAAGAAGGAAGATCCACGTGAACGCTTTGCCACGGTCTTCTCCCTCCCACTAACTAGGTACATACTGTGTGCATTCTGCTCTCTCTCGGTCTCTCTCTGTCTCTCTCTCATCCTGATCTCGCTGTCGAGCATGTGCCGCCCACCGCACCACTCATTCCTCCAGCACGCCTCTATTGCTCGACCACAAGGAGGTACCCGTGATTCCTCTGCTTGAGGTTGTCTGCTGGCTCGTACCATCTCACTTCACCTTGTCTGCACTGAACCACCAGTTAGTGCCTCCCTTATCGTCTGCATTCCCACTTGGTAGCAGCTCATCATGCTCATGTGATCAGCTCCTTCATGGGCAGCCAACTCAGTCCTGTTAGAGCTTGCATCTTGGTTTATGGGATCATAAATGAGCATGTATACTGTTCTTTAACATGTTCTTTTCCAGGGATAAGTCAGATTGATGCCATTGGTTCCCGTACAGTTGGAAGCATTGAGGGCAGCCATTGAAGCTTGGGAGAAATGCTGAGATACGGTGGTAGAACAGGCATGCATGACAGGCAAATACTTGGCGTTCAAGTGGATGACGCTTCCTGCCAATGTGATGTTGTCACATGAACACCCACTTAGAACAGGTGGAAGTCATCTTTGAGGAAAAAATTGCTTCCAGTTACCTAATTGTATTGCTGATTAAAGTTTTTTGGGTCCAAAAGTTTCCTCGTTGCTTAACTGAAGTGGAGTGGGTGCAGGGTCAGCTCAATCTATACTGCTGCAAGCAGGGTTTCTTGGCATGATAGTTCCGGATGGTTGGAGATGAAAGTTTTCTTTTTTTAATTCTTGAAAGGAATTAAGATTTATAAATGAATTATATATATATATATATATATATATAAGGATTGGATTATTCTATAAATAATTCATATATTGATATAAAGAAAAATAAAAGGTAGAGAAATATTTTTGGAGTTATATGAGAATGTATATACAATGAAATTTGTATTGATACAAGTAAGGAGTATTGAACTATCTTGTGACGATTTTTTCGAGTTTATATTTTCTTGGATTTTTCTCTAATAGAAATCTCTTCTCTCCTCTTCTAGGATCTTTATTTATTGTTCTAGGACATTACCCAATAGTTTTTTTTTGATAAGTAAAAGTAAATTGACTTTGTGTAAAGTTTCTACAAATAGTTTTGTTTATACAAGTTATAGACGAAGCTAGGTAACTCGTAGAGTACTCATGCGGTAGTTATGACTACACATGCTGTAAACTATAACTCTTAACTGTGGCCAACAAATAAAATTTATAGTCCAGATATGCCAAGATTTCCTGTGGGTATAGCTTTTAACATCATGCCCAAGATCTTTAGCTAATAGCAAAATTGAATTTGATAAAAATATCTTTTTCTAATTGTGTAAGGTACTCCATTTTGAGATCGTTCTCCATACATGATCTTGAGTCTCTAATAATCTCTATCAAGAGCTGAGCTTTGTTTGTGTGTTGACACTCAAAGATTCTGCTACATCTTTCCTTCCACATCTACCAAATAGCGCATCTGAATATAACTTTTGTAAATTGTGTAAGAGGCCCTTTTCTTAAAAAACATTGCATGAGGTCACCTAATTCTTAATGCAAGTTTGGGTGTAGCATTCTATTGAGTTCGAATCGCTGGAGAATCTCTTTCCATATTAATTTAGTATAGTCACAAGCAAAATAGAGATGGTATATTACCCAATAGTTGTTAGGATTGGTGAATATTTGGAAGTCATATGTAGATTCAGATTAATTGGATGAGTCCTAACCAGATTCAAACTCATTGATGGATTATAATTAAGATTTAGACTAGTGATTCAAGTAGAAAGATATGTCCTTAGTGAACTAGAAATTATTCCTATAAATACATTGTGTATCTCATGATTTTGATGAAAATGAACAAATATTGATGAAGACACTTTGTGTACTATTGAAATATTCTATAGTAGATTTAGAAAGGACTAAGAAAATTTTTTTCCAATATGTATAAGAGAGTAAACAAGAGATTATTATATGTTTTTTTATATAATAAAAATTTAGTCTTTTTTCCCATGGATCTAGACATGGAATGTCTAACTATTTAGATGTGTTGACTTTTTAGTATGTTATTTAGTTGTTGATGTTGGAATTTATTTTTATTTAAAAAAAATTTTTCCAACCAAAAACGCAGAAGTTCTACTTATTTGTAACCACCATGTCTTACTGATAGCCTTCTCTCCTTGTTGCCACTGTGACCAGATCATGTCAATTACTTTGATGGCAGCAAAAGTATATGAGAGAGATGGACGGCGAAGGGGAAGGTAGGGCTAGTTGAAACGTAGAACAAACTCCATCGAAATGATCAAAGAAGAAGATGTGATGTCATATACATCTCTTCCTTTGATTTCGTAAGGTTGTCCCTAATTAATTCAGACAAGCCGGAGCCAACTACACACTCAAATGGTTTGAGTGAGAAGAATTCCTGCGGTGTCTCTCTCATAAGGTTGTCTCGATTGAACGGGTATGGCAATATTAGATCATAAGAATTCAGAAGTTATAATATTTGAAACCAGTATTGTTACTGTTATGACACTAAGAGCGAAGGAGGGGTGAATTAATAGCGAAGGAGGGGTGAATTAGTACTTTCATAAATTTATAATTTTAAAAATTTATTTGATGAAAATCGATATCGAAAGTATATTTGATTTTGAGTATGAATAAGTGTAATAAATAATTAAATTAGAAAGCAATAGCAATGAAGAGCATAAAAAAAAATACATATAAAATTTTTATAGTGGTTTGGTCGTCACGACCTATGTCTACTTATGATTTCTCTTCCGTCGAAGTTATCGGTTTTCACTAATGATCTTCTTTCAATTGGCAAAGATCAACCAATTTTTTCTTTTCACATGTTTAGGAGATAACCTTTACAAATCTCACACCTCCCTTAGAATGAGCTCTAAACTTTAAAGAGGAGAAGGAGAACACTCAATTCTTTCCACGAGTTTACAACTTAGAATCATAAGCCCTTTCGTTCACTTTTCTTACTATCTCAACTAAGAATGAGTGGGGTATTTATATAAAAAAATATTAAAAAAATAAGATTAGCTTATTAAAAAAGATTTGATAACTCAAATATAAATGAAGGTTTGGAAATGACATACAATTAATTTATTTTATGGTGGGGAATTTATAGACTCTAAATAGATTAAAAAATAAAGCCATAAAGTCTTATCCCTGGGTTTTTAGGGTACTAGTAGTACTACCATCAGTGTTGGGCTGTACCACACTACCTACAACACTAAGAACTGACGGTACCACTGCCTAGTTTGGTCGGTACTACTACCTAACACCCTAGAAGAGCATATACTAGTGGTACTATCACCAATCTAGGAAGTACCACCGTCAGTCTAGGCAATACTATCGCTTGACACTAGTAGTACCACTGTATAGTCTTTTAGAAAACGTATACTTATACGTTCTAGCTCATAGGCAATTCCACCACCTAGTTGTTAGAACCCTTGCAGATTCTAAACTTGAGGTTGATCTCTTTAGGGGATCGACCTCCTTGGAACTCTATAGGGGTTGCTCCCTCCAAGTTACCGCTCAAAGGCTGCAGAAAAGATTCATCTATTGCTTATGAAAAGAGAAGGAATACATAGTTATTTATAGGGCTTCTAAACCCTAACTCCTAATAGGACTCCTACTTAAGACTCTTACTTCTAACCAACTCCTAATAGGACTCTTACTCAAGACTCCTATTCCCTTACAACTCCTAATTCTTCTCTAAGAAAAAACCTCCTACATGAATGTCCCTCTCAATTAGGACTCTCCTAGCTAGAGTCTTAATAGAATGTCCCTCTCAATTAGGACTCTCCTAGCTAGAATCCTAACAGACCTGCCCTCTTCAAATCAGCCTTGTCCTCAAGGCTGAGATTCCATGAACTTAGGGAACCGGGTCTTCAGCTCCTCATATGGTTCCCATGTGGCGTCTTCAAGTGGTAGATTATTCTAATGCACTAGTACTTCAGTAGAGGGATGTCGGCGACGCATCACGATCCTACGATCGAGGATGGCTTGTGGTTGAGCTTGAATAACTCCATCCTCAGTTGTGTTGGGAAGTTGGATCTGGGGTGACTCGTGTTCTCCCAACTTGGGCTTTAGGCATGATATGTGGAAGACAGGGTGAATTTTGGCATCCTCAAGTAATTTAAGTATATACGCGATGGCTTCAATACGCTCTGTGATCTGATAGGGCCCATAAAAACGTGGGGATAGCTTCATGGAGGCTCGAGTGTTGATAAAGAGTTGCTTGTATGGTTGTAGGCGAAGATAAACCCAATCTCCCACTGAAAATTCTCTTTCACTTCGTCGTGTGTCGGCTTGTTGCTTCATTCTGGCTTGAGCGGTAGAGAGATTATTTTTTAACAGTTGTAAAAGTTTGTCCCTATCAATTAATTCTTGGTCAACCTGATCTACCTTGGCTGAGCCAATTACATACTTTGGAATCACAAG